AGAGAAACCCTGTCTCAAAAACAAACAAACAAACAAACAAACAAAAAAACAAAAAGCAAAAAAAGAAATACGGGAGTCTGAGGAGCCAAGATCATCAGGAGTGGGTTCCAGAGTGTCCAGACTGCTCTCAGGATGACAAGCTCTTTTTGTTTGTTTTTAAATTATATCAGTGAGTGAGCGTGAATGGTGTGTGTGTGTGTGGAGTGTGTGTGTGTGGAGTGTGTATGCGAGTGGGGGGGTTAGGGTGTCACGTGACGTGTGTGAAGGTCAGAGGACAATCTCTGAGAGTCAGTTCTCTCCTTCCACTATGTGTTCTGTAGGTAGAAGAAAGGTGTGAGGATCGGCAGCAAGCGCCTTTAGCCTCTTGTAGCCCTGCTGTGCTCTGTTTTGTACAAGACAGGGCTTTGTTGTGTATTCCAGGCTGGCCCCAAATTCACTTCTCTAGCCCAGGTTGGCTTGAATGCTCTGCCTGGGGTTACAGGTGTAAATAACCACGCTGTTGCAGGATGGTGGACTCACACCACACCTTAACGCCACAGAAGCAAGAAAGTTGAAATGCTAGATCCTAGAAGGTTTGAAATGCAGGGTTGGAGTGTTGAGAGCAATGAGCCGACCTGTCCCTTCCCTGCCTCGGACTTTACGTGTCAGTCCTTGGGCTGGACTCCGTCGTCGTCCACCTTGGCACCTTCACTGCCTTTTGCCATCAACCTTCACGTTGGAACACATCAAGGTTCTGACAGATTAATGATTAATTAATTCTGATAATTAATTGTTAGCTCTGCAAGCTCTGTTCTCCCACGCTGGAAAACAAACCTAGGAAATCATGAAAATCGCCCTCCTCTATATATACGTGTGTGTGTGTGTGTGTGTGTGTGTGTGTGTGTGTGTGTGTACTTATACAGGTGTTGCAAGAGTATAAACATGTATGAATATGTACATTTACACATACACCAAATATATTTGTTTTGGCTATGCGTGACGTATATGTGGGCTCTGGGAAATCCAAGCTCAAGTTTTCATGCTTGCATAGCACCACTTTACTCACCAAGCCATGTCCCCAGCTGTGACAACCCAAGAAACATGGTGCAGTCTAGGAAGGCTTGCCAGACAGAGACGATGATCTGATGGGTACTGTAGCTTCAGCTGCCACAGGGATACACCCAGCAGAGTACAGATGGCAAGGAACCTTGTCAGTTTCTTCAACAAAGACAAAGAGGAAGGAGGCTTTGTAGTCAGCAGCAGCAGAAGGCAGGGCCTGGGGTGCCGGGGGAGGTGGGAAAAGGAGGGAGAGGAATAAAAGAGGGAGGGAAAAGAGATGTGTGTGGCACATTTCGGGAGCTATGAACTCTGAGTAGTATTGGATCTTAGTAAGTTGCTATTCAATTCTTAAATAGAATTTTATTGTTGTTGCTGCTTTTTGTGTTTCTGAGGAGGGAACCCAGCACCTTATACATGGTAGCAAGCACTCTACCCCTGAGCCACGCCCCCAGCCCCTCACTGGGGGATTCTAGGCAGGGGCTCTACCACTGAGCCACGCCCCCAGCCCCTCACTGGGGGATTCTAGGCAGGGGCTCTACCACTGAGCCACGCCCCCAGCCCCTCACTGGGGGATTCTAGGCAGGGGCTCTACCACTGAGCCACGCCCCCAGCCCCTCACTGGGGGATTCTAGGCGGGGGGTCTACCGCTGACCTATATTGATTTATACTTTTGGCTCATGCTTACATTTTAAAATACTCTTTACTTTCCTAGCGAAAGTAAACTTTCCTACAAACAACAGATAAACAAATAAAAAGAATACAGGGGCAAAAAGGAAGTAGGCAGAATGAAATTAGCCACAAGTTGGCAACTGCTGACACTTATAATTGTGAGGATGTGAACTAGTTAAGAATCCATACATTAGCCAGGCCTTTAATCCCAGCACTCTGGAGGCAGAGGCAAGTGGATCTCTCTGAGTTCGAGGCTAGGCTGGTCTACACAGTGAGTTCCAGAACAGTCAGGGCTGTTACACAGAGAAACTCTGTCTTGAAAAACTAAAAAAAAAAAAAAAAGAAAAAAAAAAAGCCCATAATTCAGAAGTCCAAGATCTAGCTGGCCATGGTGAACACAACTCTAATCCTAGCACTGGGAAGGTAGAGGCAGAAAGCAGGAGTTCCAAGTCATCGGTAGTTATATAGTATGTTTGGGGCAAGCTGCCTGGAGAAAAGGGCGGGGCATCTGGAGAGCTGACTCAGAAGTTAAGAGCATGAGGACCCAGATTCTGTTCCCAGGACCCACCTGGTGGCTCCTAACAATACATAGCTTCAGTTCCAGGGAATCTAATTCCTGCTCGTGGCCTCTGTGGGCACTGCACATACAGGGTGCGCACACATCCGTGCAGGAAGACACACATACACATAAAAATGTTTTTTAAATAGCCAGGTTTGCTGGCAGACATCTCTATTCCCAGCACTCAGCAGTCAGAGGCAGGCAGTTTTCCATTTGAGTTTGAGGCCAGCCTGGTCTACACGGCAAATTCCAGGACATAAAGAGAGCCTGCCTAATAAAATATCAATAATGATAAATAAAATAAAAGGGGGCAGCGGGAGGGCACTTAATCTTTGATAAAGTCTATGTAACTGTTCTCGAATCCCCAAAAGTTGTGCAATCTGAAATGTCTTTTTCTAGTCAGGTGTTTGGTTTATATTGTGGCAGTCTGCAGACCGGCAGGGGTGGCTCCAAGAAGTAATTGTGCAACTATACCACGCCTAGGGCTGCCTCCCAGGAAGCCCGGGTGTGTGGTGTGTCTGTCACAGTCACCTGGAGAGCTGTTGGCTCAGCAGGTTGAGACCACAAGGACCTCAGTATCCAGAGTTGGGATTTCTGTGGCTCTGGAATTCATTCATTCTTTCTTTCTTTCTTTCTTTCTTTCTTTCTTTCTTTCTTTCTTTCTTTTTTGGTTTTTTGAGACAGGGTCTCTCTGTGGCTTTGGAGCCTATCTTGGCACTCGCTCTGAAGACCAGGCTGGCCTCGAACTCATAGAGATCCGTCCGCCTCTGCCTCCCGAGTGCTGGGATTAAAGGGGTGTGCCACCAACGCCCGGCTGCCTGTGGTATACTTGCGTATATCCTCGGATGCTTTATTTTTCACTGTTTGAAACAAGGTCTCCTGTAGCCCTTTTTGGCTTGAACTTCCCGCATAGACCAGGCTGGTTAGAACTTGCAGCTGTCCTTTCCTGTTTATCACTGGGATTACAGGTGTGCACAGCCATGCCTGCCCAGTTCACATACTCTTTTTTTTAGTGTGTCCAGTTTTAGTGGGGTTTTTGCTGTTGTTGTTTGTTTGTTTGTTTTCCGAGATGGGGTTTCTCTGTGCAGTCTTGTCTGTCCTGGAATTCTCTCTGTACATCAGGCCGACTTTGAACTCACAGAGATCCACCGGCCGGCGCCAGCCTGTGGAGTGATGGCATTACAGGCGTGCGCCACTACTGCCCTGCCAAATTTTAGTTTTTCTTTTTTTTTTTTAAATTATTTTATTTTCCATGTGTGGATGTTTTGTCTGTATGCATATACGTTCACTGCATGCATTCATGGTGCTCACAGGGGTCACGCGAGGATGTCGGATCCTGGAATTATACGTGGTTGTTAGCCGCCTCCAGGTGGGGCTGGGAATTGAACCAGAGGCAGAGGAGGGAGAGGAGTTCAGGGTCAGCCTTGGCTACGTGAAAGCCTGTCTCAAAAAAAGAAAAACAAGCCGGTCGTTGGTGGCGCACGCCTTTAATCCCAGCACTCGGGAGGCAGAGGCAGGTACATCTTTGAGTTTGAGGCCAGCCTGGTCTCCAGAGTGAGTTCCAAGACAGCCAGTGCTACCCGGAGAAACTGTGTCTTGGAAGAAAAAAAAAAAGATTGGGGACTATTTAATTTTCCTGTTCTGATTAAGATGGTTTTACAGTGGAAATTGCAGAAACAACAGAAATGGCATAACAACAGTCAACATTATCAGAATTTTTGAGCCACTTCAAATCTGGACAGTTGGGGGCTGGAGAGGCGGCTCAGCAGTTCAGAGCACTGGGTGTTCTTCCAGAGGACCCGGGTTCCGTTCTTAGCACCCCAACATGGTCACACTCACATACAAGGACAACCATCTGTAACTCCAGTTCCCTGGGACCTAATGCCCTCTTCTACCCTCCTTGGGCATTACACACACACGGCACACAAACTTATGTAGGCATACACATACAGACAAATAAAAATGAATGTATAAATCTTTAAAATAGGCAGGGCATTGGTGGCACAAGCCTTTAATCCCAGCACTCGTGGGGCAGAGGCAGGCGGATCCCTGAGTTAGAGGCTAGGCTGGTCTACAGAGTGAGTTTCAGGACAGACAGGGCCACACAGTGGAACCCTACTTCAAAATAAAGAAACAACAGCACCAAACAAAACCATACAGAGATTCACATTTTCTTGTAATAATTTTGGCATTAAATTCCCAGGGTGGAATTTAACAGTTGTTTCAGTGGACGCTCTGGGTGGTGGTGAGCAAGGCCCGTGAGAGAAGTGGTGTTGATTTGCATAGTGGATACTCACTGAACATCTGTTGCATGCCAGGTGCTATTTCAGGAGTTAAGGCTCCTGGGTGATAGATAGTTGAGCCGAGGTGGATAAACACACTTTTATATGTTCATTTATTTATTTGTTTTGAGGCAGGGTCTCACCATGTAGCTTTAGCTGGACTGCAACTCCCAGAGATCCCAGCCCCTCGAGACTCTATGCTGGGATTAAAGGCATGCAGTGCCATGCGTGCGTTTATTTTTATATTTTATTATTATTACTTTGTGGAGCCTGTCCTTTCCTTCCAAGAGTATGTGAGTTTGGGGAAATCACACACACTCAGGTCATTAGGTTTTCTCATTCTTTCTTTCTTTTTTTTTTTTTCCAAGACAGGGTTTCTCTGTGTAGCTTTGGAGCCTGTCCTGGCACTCACTCTGGGGACCAGGCTGGCCTCGAACTCACAGAGATCCGGCTGCCTCTGCCTCCCAAGTGCTGGGATTAAGGGCGTGTACCACCAACGCCTGGCAGGTCTTTAGGTTTTCAAGGCAGGCTTCTTCTTTATCTGTCAACCCTGAGCCAAACTTAAATTAAGTCAAGGAAGAAGCCAGAGTGTGCATCTATGGGAAGATCTGTGGCAAGTCAGGCATACAACATGAGCAAGGCCCTGAGATGAGGCCGATTGTTTGTGGCTTTTCGAGACACAGTCTCACTTAGCTCACGCTAACCTCAAACTCAGCGGTGTCTCCATGGAGCACCTTGAGCTTGTCATCACCCTGCCTTTTCCTCGCCAGTGCTGGGATTACAAGTGTGTGTCCCAAGTCAGACTGTGTCTGGGGACTAGAGAGGAAGCCTGTGTGGCTGTGGGCGAGAGAGGGCGCTGAGGGAAGCCAGATCTGATCACCTGTGACTCACAGTGATAACTTAGGCGTTTGCTACAGACGGTTTGGAGCCATGTCTGGGACGGAGGAGTGATGTGCCGAGCTATGACAAAGTGGCCTCCAAAGGCAGCGGTCTGTTTTGTTTGCGCCACCCAGCATCACAGGGCCTCACAAAATACTGCTTAGTAAACATTTGTTGCACAAATAGAGCATGTCAGCACACATGGGGCCCCGAGATTACTCTTCTGTGTTCCATGTGTGGATGGGACATGATTTATTGTGCCCTGTAAAAACCTGTGTGAGCGTTCACCGGGCTTCTCAGTGGTTGTGGCCAGCCCTGCAGATACTTACAAAGTCAGGAAGGGCGTCACCCGAAGTCTGGATGGTTGCTCTCGGTGTTACTGTTATCACCGGGGTCCCTGGGAGACCGAGGTGAGGGCAGCCCAGGGTGGCGTACACGGACAGGCTGGAGGGGGCTGTGTGGCAGTCCCTGCTCCACTGACCTGCATCCCTCCTGCCCATAGCTCCACGTGGAAGAACTGCTGTGTGCGACAGCTGTACATTGACTTTCGGAAGGACCTGGGCTGGAAGTGGATCCACGAA